GCGTCGACATTCAAAAAAAAAAAAAAAAAAAAAAAAAAAAATCCCTGCGTCGAAAAACAAAAAAAAAAAAAAAAAAAAAAAGCGACATCCCGACGACTTCGGATGAGCAGTTCTACTGAACCAAAATGGCTGGCAGTGTGCCAGCCAAAAGGTCAAAAAAAAAAAAAAAACTCAGCTGTGGCATTTGGACAAAAGCTGCCGAGAATCGAAAATGCGACATCCACAATAAATTAATAATAAAAAAAAGAGACATCCCGAAGACTTCGGATGAGCAGTTCTACTGGACCAAAATGTCTGGCAGTGTGCCAACCAAAAGGTCAAAAAAAAAAAACTCGGCCGTGGCATTTGGACGCCCCTTCGAATATAATGCTTGGCCCGAGTGCTGTATTCGAATAGAACACCCGGGCGATATATTTGAATGATCCATGGGCAGAGTGCCTGGTAGAGATAGTATACAAGGGTTTCGAAGGGCGGGAAGGGGGGTTCTATTCTTTTATAGTATTCTAACTTGTATCTATAGATTTGACTCTCTATCTTCTATATATCATGAAAACATAGATAAACTAGAATTAGAAATAGGTTGAAAGGGGTTTTGACTTCCAAGGGGTATGTTTTGGTTTGATTTTTTTTCTGTTTTTATTTTCTATTTCCGCGTTTATAAGGAATTCTGAAGTGACCCTCAGCCAAAAGTTGGTCGCATTGCAATTCTGGACAATATGTTTTTTTTGTTTTTTTTTTTTCCTTGGAATTTTGGGGCCCCACCGAAGTTGCCACTAAGAGTAGATATCCCATGAACAAAGTCATAGCTTCGTCCTCAGTTTGATATGGAGTACAAAAGAATGAAAGGTAATAATAAAGTAGGCCATGTGGTAAGAAAGAAGAAACTAGGTTTTCGAGAGTCTGTAATATATAGCCAAGCGGGCGTTATTTCCGGGTGAAGACGGTAGTCCCCCTTGACCCTAAGGACTTCCTTGAGACCGCTAAGGGTTTAACCCCTCTTTTGACCCCTTTTTCGACCCTTTTTGACCCCTTTTTGACCCCTTTTTGACCCGACCCCTCTTTTGACCCCTTTTTTGACACCTTTTGACCCCTCTTTTCTGGCTTTTGACCAAAAGTTACGACCCTGCCCTTGACTCGTGTGGATTTTGAACTGATTTTATTCCAGAATTAAGAATTAAGAATTAAGAATTAAGAATTCAGAATTCAGAATTAAGAAGAGAAGCACAAAAAATCAAAGGTAGACAGAAAAAAAAAAAAAAAAAAGCTTCGATTACGACGATTAAAGAAAAAGAAAAACAATAAACAAAGGTAGGCAGAGAATTATACAACACACTTACCTTTGTGGATCACAGAATTATTAAATTTATTATAGAATATATATAGAATTATAGAATTATAGAATTACCAATTAAGAATTTAGAAGAGAAGCACAAAAAGCAAAAGGCAGGGAGGAGGGGGGGAAGGGAGAGGTGGAACATTCGGAGTAGAACACACTTTTTACTCACCCAACGTATAGACGGTCTTTGCACACATCAAAGTAGAAATTGGAGACCTCTGTTACGACAAATCGCTGGATAACCTGCAAGACGAGTCAAGTCAAGGACAGAGACAGCAACAGCAACTGTCATTCTCCAGAAAGTAGAGTTCTGAAAGATTGTCACAGAGAGAGCCGAGCCGAGATGTCACATCAATCTCCCAATTGTGCTCATAGCTTCCATACCTTCAGCTTCACATGGTAGGTAGGGCGTGAAGCCTAAAAGAGGTTTACTCTCTCTCTCTCTCTCTCTCTCTCTCTCTCTCTCTCTCTCTCTCTCTCCATGAAAAGCAATGGGAGAATTGTCTACAGGTGGCCTCCGCTTGCGGCACAGCGAAATTTCTGCAACATGTCTATATGCTGCTATCACAGCCTATTGCCACCGTCTTCCGCCAAATAGAACCGGTAATTATTGCTGTGTCTAGATTCTAGAATCCTAGACCGATTATTGTGCCAAATACAGCTATAAAGACCGGGCGTTCTATACGGGTGAAGGCGGTATAGGCTAACAGTCTGTTAGATGCAAAATCCAAAGCAACGGCTCTCACGTGCGTCTGTATGTTGTGCTATGCAAGGATCCTTGCATAGCACGTATAGGCGCATAGCACGTATAGGCACATAGCACATATAGAACATATAGGCGCATAGCACATATAGGCACATAGTGCATTTAGGTGCATAGCACATATCATGTGCTATGCAAGGACACAAATGTATGTGCTAAGCACCCATATGGGCTATGCAAGGATACTAGATTGTGCTATGGAAACTATGCTGCTAGGATGACTACCTTCTTAACCCGAAAAAAACGTACGTACCGTATATACAAACACAACGTCCGGGGTACGTTGTATTCGAATACAACATACGTAAGTTATAGAACGAGTTTTAGGGTACAACTTTTCAGAAGCCTGTAGTACCACCATAATGGCGCCATTGTTTTTATTTTTATCTCAAATTTGGTTGGGAATTTTGCCAAGACCCTCAGGCAAAAGTTGTTTGCATTGCAATGTTGTACAACATGCTTGTTTTTCAGATTTCTTACTGAAGTTTTTTTTTTTTAAATCGAAATTCTGAAAAAATCAGTAAAAATTTACTAAAAACATTTTCATCCTCGTTTTTATTTTCTTCTCGAATTTTCTCGTGAATTTCGATAAGATCCTCAGGCAAACGTTGTTTGTATTGCATTGTTGTATAACATTTTATTTTTTTCGGATTTTTTTTATTACTTTTGAAAAATCAAAGTTCCAAAAATTTGAATACAACATACGTACGTTGTATTCGAATACAACGTACGTACGTTATATTCGAACGTACGTTATATTCGAACGTACGTTCTATTCGGGGAAAACAAGCGATTTCTGAAAACCCGATTTCCAGAGGTAATTCGAATAGAACGTACGTACGTTTTTTTCGGGTTAAGAAGGTACTCCCATTTGGCCCATGCTCCTGGTTGGTATATGGTCCCAGTTCAGAAAAATAACGAGTCGAGTCAGTCGACCTACTTCTAAATCTTAATAACGATTCCCATATATCCGGCTCAACCTATGATTTGCTTAGGAATTCTTTATGGATTCCTAACGATATTTTGCGTTACACCCTCTCAAATAATTTGTGCGAGGGCTTTTTTGATAAAAGGTGATTCAGCTGGCTCAATCGCTTTGATAGGCTCTTTAATTGGCCATACCATCGTTCACACAGATAGTTGGTTCACTTCCAACTGGGACGGCGGGACCATGTCGCAAAAGAAATTGATTGTGAGAGATGCTCCTAGGTGAAGTTCGTTCCACCTGCTGAAGTTGTTCCGAGCTCGGGACCTTGTACCAGCTGGTCCCAGGTGGACCATGGTCTAGACGCTGGACCATGGTGAAGTTGTTCCACCTGGTACATGGCAGTCCAGCTGGGACCTTGTACCAGCTGGACCATGTCCCAACCAGGAGAATGTACCTAACTAGTACCATGCTAACTGGGACCACCACTGCACCAACTGCCAACCGGGACTGTGCAAAAATTGGGCAATGTACCAGCTCGGACCATGTACCAACCAGGATGCATAACTACAAGCTAGCATGGTCCCAGTTGGTGCATGGTCTGACTTCGCATGGTCCCGGGCGGTACATTCTCCTGGTTGGTACATGGTCCACAGAGTCCCAGTGAGCATGGTCCCTGTTTGGAAATTTCTCATGTTTGGTTACATGGTCCCGCTCGGTACACTCTTCTGGTTGGTACACGGTCCCGCTCTACAGCGATAATCACGGGCCACATTCTATTTGGGTAAAGACGAGTTGGTTGGTGCACCAACTATGAGAAAGAAATTCTATTCGGGTGAAGACGAGTGTCCCAACTGGGACCGCCGTGGGACCACACGACGGTCCCAGTTGCTAGGATCACACTGCGAGAGGTTGAAAAGGGTTCTCAGCACCCCAGGAGGGCAAATACGACCAAAATTTAATTCAATTTTTTTTTTTAAAAGTTGTTATTATTATTATTGAAATATGCAACTCAATTTTGTGCTCAGATATCCCCCGGCACAATTAACCTGAGCCCCACCGGTACACGCCATACATCACCCTCGGGCCCCTTTTCTTTCAAAGGCGCCGAAATGCATCAAAGGCCGCCGATCGATGTATTGCCGCCGGCCCGCTCCCGACTTTTTCCGATGGGTGACAAGTTTCTTTTCAGCAAGGTTGGGGCCGTGCTCTGAGAGGTCAGCCATCAGGCATCGCAAACCGACACGGGACCGGATGCCGGTCCCGACTCCATCATGTATAGGCATCCGGTCCCGTGTCGGTCCCGTGTTGGTCCCGTGACCGGATGCCGCTTACGAACACGGGATAGGTAGGAGAGTACATCATCATAGACAAAGAGGTACAGATAGTCAAGGTCGTTAAAAAAAAAAAAAAAAAAACTTGAAGCACAATGAAGGCGAACAATCGTAACGAGCCGCAGCCATGTCGCATGAGCATCAACTCGACTGGTACACCGCCTCCCTGGGGCTGTGTACCAGTGGGTGGTTTAAAATACGGGCCTAAGGTCCGCTAACTAAACACAGTAGGTCTTGGGTGCTTTGACTTTTTCGCTGTGCTTCGCTGACTTTACGAGAACTCAGGGCTCGCTCCACTACTCCCGACATCCACAAAAGACAAAAACAAATCATGGCGGTGACACCGCGGTGTATCTTTTCATCTATTCACTCTCGTTTTTTTGCACATTTCAAGAGTAATGGAGCAAGGCCCCTCACCTGAAAAAATCTGTAGAACTGAAACTGATCATAGCTGTCCTTGACTTCATCCATGACTGCCGAAAGCCGCCAGAGAGCGTACCGGTCCATTGAAGGGAGGTCCTTGTACGCCACCGCATGTTCCTCGGGCTGAATCCACCTCATCCAATATCCCATCCAATATCCCATCATCCAAACCCATCCAATATCCCATCTCATATCCCGTCCGATATCCCATCCAATCCATCCAATCCCATCCAATATCTAATCCCATCCAATCCCATCCAATATCCCATCCCATCCCATCCCATCCCATCCCATCCCATCCAATCCCGTCCAATATCTCATCCCATCCCATCCCATCCCATCCAATCACGTTCAATCCCGTCCAATATCCCATCTCATCCCATCCATCACACCCAAGCCAATCCAATTCCAATCCAATCGCAGCTCATCCAATCCCATCACATCCCAGCCCATCAATCCCATCTCATCCCATCCCATCCCATCCCATCCTATCCCAGCCCATCAATCCCATCCCATCCCAGCCCATCAATCCCATCTCATCCCATCCCATCCCATCCAATCCGATATCCAATCCAATTGCATCCCGTGCTATCAAATCCCATCCATCCCCACCTTCCATACATCCCAAGAGTGAAACAATACAGGACTCTGGACATGAGATGCGACCACAGGCGACTCCCCACCAATAGACTTGGAGCTTAAAAAAAAAAAAAAAAAAAAAAGAACACAGAAAGACTCTGAAAGAGAGATGACAAAAGGCACGCAACACCAGGAAAAAAAAAAAACTTGCAAAGAAAGAAAGAAAGAAAGAAAAAAAAACGTTAGCTCCAAAATTCGGACTAATTAAAGCGAGGCATCACCAAAAAACTCAGAAAAATAAAAAAGGGGATGATGACAACAACAACAAACAACCATAATGATAATGACAAGTTGTGAGAAAACAAAAAGTTGAAAAAACCCAAAAAAAAAGAAGAAAAAGACAAAAAAAAAAAAAAACCAGCAACAATAATAAAAGTAAATCAGTTGATATAATAATATAATCAGGGTTGCCGGCGTTCGGGACGGGGCGAATGCCCGAACCCGAACGCCCGAACGTTCGGCACCCCCTCTCGACGCGTTCAGCCGTGGACCAAAAAAAAAAAAAAACTAAAAAAAAAAAAAGAATTCCAAAAAATCTGAAAAAATATATGTTATGCAGAAGAACAAACTAAACAACATTTGCCTCAACGTCAAATCAAAATTCTTTACCACATTTGAAATAAAAATCAAATACTAAAAATAAATCATAATAATGAAAATTAGAAAAAAATCATGGTTACCGTCCGGACGTCCGGAACCCATTCCGGACCGTCCGCGTCTGGATGTCCGGGCGGACGTCCGGTCCGGTAGGTCCT